GACATTACATTGATCTGAAGAAAGTATTTAGTGTTTGAACATAATGATAGACCTGAATCAGATAATCTCATTAAAAGTTCAGATAGCAGAAGAGGAAATTCAGTATCATTCTGCACCAATGCAGTGTCTTCTGTATTTCAGTAAGGTCTAGATCCATTACATCTATTTAAGATAATGAGTTCGATGAGACTTCTGGTCCTCACATTCATTTGTATAGGCTTCAATTTTTTTTTTGAAGATTTATTTATTTATACAATAGCTGGGGTACAGGCCAGATGTGCGGGAGGGTGAGAGGATTCACCAAAGACAGAGCGGGGAACAGAACAGGCAGACAGACGAAATACACTGCTGAGGGGAGCAGCGGGTGAGACAGGAGAGGTCTGCCGTGCCATGTGGGAATCTCCCTGGCTGGCCGAGAGTCAAACCCATGCTGCAGAGACTGTAGACGGCTACACAGCGCTGCACTCAACCCCCTGAGCCACCAGGGAGACTCTAGGCTTCAAATATTAACAAAAGCCTTTGGAAAGAGAATTGCTATATACTAAAATCTGGGATATATGCAAGAACACGGTTTTGACACTTAAGAGAATCAACACCAACTTGAAAATGTAGTGCCATATATCTAAGGTGATGTGAACCTGTTCCCTGATGTCATGTGTAGTGCTGTAAACCAATGTTACCTCAATAAGTGGATAAATATAGTGAAAAAATAAATAAGCTGCAAATTAACAGGGGAAAAAGTGCATATCTTCACTATTACACTCATCACATACCGAATAACCACAGCACGATTCTAATCAAAGCAGAGAGCAGGTTTCCTTTATGTTTATTAAATTAGAACAGTGTCAGCAAGAAAATGTACGTATTATTTTGGGTACAGCGAGATTAACGCTGTAACCTCAGGCTTTGGTTCATAGAATTCTCACGGAACTGTCAAATGAGAAGGACCATGAATAACCATCCAATATCACCAGAAAGGAAAGAAGAGAAGAAAAAGAAAAGCGTCAAGTCATCTACTGGCATCAAGTGTGTTGATGCTTAAAACCTGCTTCCGAGGACTACTGATGGATGACATTACTCTTTGTGGTTATTACATGCTGGTTCTCTCTCTCTCTCTCTCTCTCTCTCTCTCTCTCTCTCTCTCTCTCTCTCTCTTCACACACACACACACACACACACACACACACACACACCCTCAACTTCCATTCTCCCACTTTCTCTGTGTTGTGCCCCAGGAGACTGACTTCAGACTGCATCATGCTGGTTCACTTACTTGCCTTCTGGCTTCCTGGCATGGATTTATCTAAAGGGAATCGCCAGCAGGAGACCTGGGGTGAGGGAGGTGGTGAGGTCAGGGAATTATTCCCCTGCCTCTCTCTCTTCAGCTCGGCGCTGACAGCTGTGACACTCTCCTTCTAGACTCTACTGGGTGACCCCTTTTCAAAACATGCCTCTCTCAAGCAGAGTGCAGCAGCGCTATCCTCTCTGCCCTCACCCTTCAGCCCCAGGGAAGATCCTGGCAGGGAGACCCTCTGTTGTGAGTCCCCGGGTGCCCAGCATCCCTTGTCAGTTACTTAGCTCTGCCCTCATCTCTCAATAGTCCCTTCGTTAAAATCTCTTTAAAATCCCAGTTGAAAGTGCCATCTGTTTCCTGCTAACTGATACCCACTCCTTCTGTATTGTGAATATCAAGTGGGGTGGCTTAAGGCAAGAACGTACAAGAAATATCAGGAAACTTCACTTGCTGAAAAGTTCAGTTGATTAGAGAACAGCGCTAATGAGGCCAAAATGTGTGTCTGGCTGTGCTCCCGGAGCACAGGCTGCTCCCTGACCAGCCACTGTACACACCATCAGTTACACGGCAGCCGTGCCAGAAAGGACACCAGAGCCGGTGCCAGCCCAGCCCACTTCTGGGAACATAATTCAAAGACTAGCGACCAACTGAGACAGCTTCAAAATCATCTTTGTTCCCAAAGGACAGCTTCTGTAATGGATTCTAATGAAAATTTGATATAGATTATTTTAAATAGTAAAGCTATACCCGTTCATATCTTTTTCAAAGCTCTGTGTTCATTGCATGACTTCGTGTGTAGCTAATTCATGAAAATTCAGATTAGATTATCAAAATATACCATATGTTGGTAAAGGGTCCAGGGTTTATAGGAATATATATCCAATTCATTTCTTTAAAATTCTCTGAACTGCCATGTATTAAACAAGTGAAACAACATAATCATCGCCTAAAGAATAAACGCTTAAATTTTATTTTGTGTTTGTTTGAAGTTATTTTCTGGTTACTGAATATGAATGACAATTTTCAGTTGATATACATATTTTCTCAAAATGAAACACTTCTTACTTCAATACTATTGCCTTGTAAAATCATATTATAATTAGGCCACTGTAGACCTACTAATGTATTAAAGTTGCTGTACTGGATTTATTTCCATGGTGTTAATTTTATATAATTTGAATGCATATGAGAGAGATGGAGAGAATTCTGTTCCTTTTGCAGAAATCAGTTTCTGGGACTCACTGTCAATAAGAATGGAGTACTATTTCTACTGATATTGAATTGTCCTTTAAGTAAAATGTGCTAAAATACTAAAGCAACCTATAATCCCATCACTGGTGGCATAATTCTGATATCCTCTGTGAGATCTGATCATTTTTTATCCATTGCATTTATTCTTAGTCATTTTCCTAAAGCATAATCTGAGTTTTATTTTTGAACAAAACCTCTTGAGTCATTTTGATAAGGTCAACAGAAAGCGCAGACTTTAAACATTAGGTGATCAACTTTTTGACAATAGCAGGACCCGCATAGCTAATGGAATAATAGCCTGCAGGGTCCAGCTAAATATGATATACGAATGTAATCAACCTCTGTGATGACTATTCAGAAGTAATCCCTTTAGCTTTGAACTGCAACATATATTTCAACAAGGCAAAAACCACATGAAGAAATTCTCTGCAGACCACACTGATACAATACAGCCTTCATATCCTGCCCTGTGTGTTTGCTGCTTCTAGTGAGTTTTAAATTTAAGGTAATGACTACTGTATATTCATGTGGACCTACAACAATACTTTTGATTTGTTGTGGAAAGGTTGAATCCATTACCAGGGGTCTAGTCTATAAACTCTGACACCACCTTTAAGTATGAGTTATTATTTACCCTTTTCTAGAGTAAGGCCACTAAAAATTTTTTGCATGGCAGAATTATAAAAATTCACTTACCTTTTCAAGTAGTGTCTCCTCTACTTCAAGTGACACTCCCCTATTTCTTAAATCTCATTTATATATAATACTGCCTTAAATATATATTGTTTTTAAATAAAGGGATGGGATGGTAGGTTGACTGCAGTTTAGAATTTGCTGACTTATTCTGTTGCTTTGGTGCAGTAAGAGCCAAGCGATGTTATAAATGAGACCTTTTGTTATGCACTTGAGCGCATCTACCATTCCGAAGTCTTTACTATTAGCATCAAAAGAAATACCTGTTTCTATTGAAATGACAGTAGAAGCAGGTTTCAATACAAAGCAGCAACTTTGTGTTGATTCTGGCCTCCCTTGCTGGAATGGCTTTATTCCTAACCTTCCAACTTCCTCTCAGTCCTACAGATCAGACATCTCAAGTCATACTCTTAGACCAACAACACAAAACCTTGGTCAGGAATCAAAATGAGTGCTTTTACAAGGATGGAACCAAGAATCAGAGCTCATATGCTCCCCTTGTTGCAAAAGAATAGAGGTACCAGCACACCAGAATAAGGGGTTCAAGTATTGCCTTCTGGACATTAATCATTACTAAGGTTTCCCAGCACTGGGGGAGTGTGAATGTCTTTTATTTAAATTAGCCACTATAGCCCAGGTTGAGTAAAAGAATAGTTGCAAATATACCTATTCTCACAGAAGCTATCTGGAAGATATTTGACAGTAAAAAAATCACCTTTGCTCAGTATCTAGAAAATAAATACTAAACAATTGTTTGACCAGGCATTTCAGACTTGGAATATCCAGGAAAGATTTCTCCATCTTAACAGATAATCTTCCACTCTGACAACGAAAGGGAATGCTGAGTTTAAGACATTAGAGAGTACAAAATAGGCATGAAGATATTAACACGGTTCTATGGATTACGAAAACTATTGAACTGAGATGCCTATGATAAAGATCTTTACCTAAAAGAATGACAGAACATATTATTTAATGCCAACCTCCTATTCCAGATCCCCAAAATACTGTAGCTTAAGAATATAAGCAATCGCTTCTTCCTTAATCTCGAAATGAGCTGTCTACACTTATAAGTTAGCCCTATAGGCATTCAGGGGGACATGACCTTCCAGCTCATTGCCCCATCACCCCTGGGCAAGGTTTCTCAATCAGGCACTATTGAAACATTGAGCTGGATAATATTTTTTTTTTGAACGGGAGAGAGATAAATGGTGCTACGGGTGCTGTAGGGTATTTAGCAGCATCCTGACCTTCTACCCATCAGATGCCAGTGGCACATCCACCAGCCAGTTCTTACTATCAAAACCTACTCCCAACATTTTCAAATACCCCTGTGGTGCAAAAACACCCCCACTGAGAACCACAAAGCAAGCATCCTAAGAGAACCAAGTGGAAGCTTCATAGTCATTTCTGATTTAGCCTGCTCATGCAATTACTTCTTCCACATTCTATTGATTATGAAACAGTCCCGTGGAGAGCTCAATCTTCAAGAGAAGGGGAATTAGATTCTGCCTTGATGGAGGAGTGGCAAGAAGAAATTTATCGTGTCACCTTAGTTGGACAAGAGAGGGACACGCAGAGTGGGAGATTTCCTAGTGACCATCTTTAACCATCTTTAAATGCCTGCCCTGGTGATAACATACATTTTTATCTTACATGTAATAAAGGTATATCTCTGAAAAGGGATCCTCATGTACACGCTCAAAATAACTTTAAATTGTGTTTGTGATGAGTCATTAAATGTACACATCTTTTTCTTTAGGAGATTCTAGAAGAACCACACTTAGAAGTTTATCTCAAGACTCAGAACATTTGGAAGAAGAACTCAGTGGGTATGATAAATCACGTCAAGTTACAATTTAGTACCCACATTGTGCAAGCTTCTATGTATAATCTAATTCTCCAAACATAAAAGAGAGTCATATCATCTAGCACTTGAAATACTATTTGGAAAAAAAAAAAAGACACAGATTTCCATTTAAACATTGCATCAGGTTAAGTTTTTTTGCTCTTTCAGGCTATGGTATCTTTTAAAGCAAATTTCTTCTACTTCCTAGTCCAGTGCAAAACTTAATTTTGTAATTTATTTCAGGTTTCCAGATGATGGAAAAAAATGAGATTTAAGTCAGCTTTTGACTCAACAATAAAGCAAGAAGAAATTTATCGGGTCACCTTCGTCATTGATACCTGTAATAGGAATATGTCACAAATAATATGGAGTTCTAATAAAAATGAGCATAACTATGTTTTCATTGAATTTTGTATTGCTCTGATCCTCTGTTCTACAAGAAATAGTCTATCACAGAATCAAAGTTTGGTTCTCCCTAATCAGAAAATAATTGTAAGTTTAAAAAAATCTATGCTAAATATATCTGGAGAAATATCTACTTAAATCCAAGAGAACATCTTCTACATATACAGAATATAAGACAAAGAGCATAATTTAAATAGGCAAGAGATTTGAACAAGTATCTCACCAAAGAACATGTGCATACACTAAAGAAGCACATGAAAAGGCCCTTGACGTCATTAGTCATTAGAGAAATGCAAATTAAAACCACAGAGATGTCCTTACACACCTACTAAAATGGCTGAAATTTAAAAGTCTGACAATACCAAGTGCTGCAAGGATATGGAGTAACTAGAACTCTCCAAGTCACTAGTAGAAATGTGAAACTGTGCAGTTGCTTTGGAAAACAGTTAAGCAGCTCTTTATCATTTGGACACACACCATGTGACCCAGAATCCACTCTTAGATGTTTTCCCAAGAGAAATGCAAAAATAGGTCCACAGCTAACTTGTGAATGAATATTTATAGCAGTTTGTTTACTTAATAGCCAACACCTGGAAATAATCCAAATGCCCATCCGTTGGTGAATGGATGAACATATTGTAATATCTTCTAAAATGAAATCTAACTCAGTAATAAAATAAAAGCAACCATTGATAAGTTCAGCAAGATGAATCTCAAAAGCATGATGCTAAGTGAGAAGTCAGTCACACAAAAAAATTCCATTTGTATAACATTCTAGAAGAGACAATATTACACAACAGAAATCAGATCAGGAGATGCCAAGAGCTGGTGCAGAGGAAGGAAAGCAGCGGTAAAAGAATTTGCTGGAACTTTGGGGACCATGAAAATGTTCTGTGTCCATGGTAGTGGATGCACATCTACATATCTTTCCCTAAGATATGAACTGAACTATACTGAACTATACACTTGAGGATGAATTTTACTTTATAAATGATGACTTGATAAATTGGCTTGAAAACATAAAGGAGCACGTGACAGTAGAATAGATCCAGCCTGGTCACATGGTTTTGTGTTTTTTTTTTAAAGATTTATTTTTGTTTGTTTATACAAGCACTGGGTACAGTCAGAAACGTGGGAGGGTGAGAGAATTCACCAGAGCCAGAGTGGGGAGCAGAGCAGGCAGAAGGACCGAAGTACACTGCTGAGGGGAGCAGCGGGCGGCAGGAGAGGTCTGCGCGCCATGTGGGACCCTCCTCCGGTGGGCGGGGAGCAGCCGGGATCGAACCGGCGCTGCAGAAGCCGCGGGCAGCTTCGGAACCCAGCGCTCAACCGCTGCGCCACTGGGGAGGCCCCGGTCACATGGTTTTTAAATTCAGTTAATTGTATGTGTAGTAAAGGTTTTAAATCATCTAAACCCACATGTGCACTGTGATTATCGGGGAAGTGGAATGATTTTACTTTTTATCCAATATTAGATTTTTTCCACATGTAACAATACATTGCATATTATGTCTTAATAATAAAAATATTAAAAACAAAAGAGTCTCCCACTATAGTGTAAAGTGTGTCCCTCACCATTTTTCTTTAAAAATGCCTCATCTCGCCTCACTCTATTTAAAAAGTAGTAGCAGGGTCTCCCCGGTGGCGCAGCGGTTGAGCGCTGGGTTGCGAAGCTGCCCGGGCCTCTGAGGCGCCGGTTCGATCCCCGGCTGCTCCCCAGCCACCGGAGGCGGGTCCCACATGGCGCGCAGACCTCTCCTGCCCCCCGCTGCTCTGCTCCCCGCTCTGGCTCTGGTGAATTCTCTCACCCTCCTGCGCTTCTGATTGTAACCAGTGCATGTATAAATAAATAAATAAATAAATAAATAATAAATAAATAAATAAATAAATAAATAAATAAATAAATAAATAAATAAATCTTTAAAAAAAAAAAAGAGTGCTATCAAGCTATCCCTGGCCACTGCAGGACAAGTTCAACCCCTGGATGGCCAGGGAGCTACCCACATGGCACATCAGACCTCTCCTGTCTTGCCTGCTGCTTCCCTCAGCAGTGTATTTCAGTGGAGCTGTCTGTTCTGCTCCCCACTCTGTCTCTGGTGAATCCTCTCAACCCCTGCACCTCTGGCCTGTACCCCAGTTCTTGTATGCATAAATAAATAGATCTTTAATAAAAAAATTTAAAAAAATAAAAAGCAGTATCAACCCTGAGAAAACCTTTCCTTTCATAAAAATAATTCTAGCTTTGAAATTTTAAGTCCAGGGCCTCCTGGTGGTGCAGCGGGTTGAGCGCAGTGCTGTGAAGCTGTCCGCAGCCTCCGCAGCACTGGTTCAATTCCCAACCAGCCAGGGAGCAACCCACATGGTACAACAGACCACTCCTGTCTTGCCCGCTGCTCCCCTCAGCAGTATATTTCAGTCAGTCTGCCTGTTCTGTTCCCTGCTCTGTCTCTGGTGAATCCTCTCACCCTCCCATGACTCTGATCTGTACCCCAGCTCTTGTATAAATTAAAAAAAAATCTTAAAAAAAAAATGAAATTTTAAGTCCAACTAACAAATACATTTTTTTCTCTGAAATCATTTCTGTAATAACAACCTCTTGCTATAGTATCTTCTTAAATGTATACCTGGAAATTTTTATAAGAATATTTTTAACAAAATGTCCACATCTGTGAAAACACTTCTAGAAATTAAATACATCAAATATAAACCTGTTGGGAAGGTCAAAAGAAACCAGAATTTACAATCAAATGCTAAACAGCCACACTGCTAAACCTCTGTTAGATATAATCAAAAGGTTTCTTTAGCAGTTTCTCCTTAAATTTCAATTTGAGTCATTTTTATTTGTGAAAGTGAAAACAAATCTGAAAACAAAATCAAGGTTTTATGATGACAGATGCAAATCACAGTGGCATCAAATGCTAGTTCTTAGGATCTATAAAAGATCCTTCTATAAATAATGCAACAAGGACCACTCACTGTGAACTTGTAAGTATTTACAATGGCCTCTAATTCCTTTTTTATCAAAATGACAGTGCCTAAAATGCATTCCATAATGTACTGTTTTTCAGTTTTCAGCTTCTCCTTTAAAACTTGCTATGATGTCATGCCTTTTCTGTTTTTTTCTACTCTAATAAAGATGCCCTAAAAGTGGTTAAAAAATGCATCCTTGGTTACAGCAAACAAATATCTTTGCCACATTTCTGGAAACACCAAAATTATCCCAGGAGGTACCCACTGATCTACTTTTTAAAGGACCCTTTCAATTTCTTTCCTCCCCACAAGTTTTCTTTTCTAGGGGCCTCCTCTGTCTTTGGAGCTGTGTCTGCAAACAGCTGAAGAAGCTGAGCTCCCGGTGGACAGTAGCAGATGTATCTGGCAGGTAAAGGTTTAGTTGCTCTCCTAAAGGAATTTGCGTTTTAAAGTAATCGAATCTTCAAATAAAAGTGCAAAGTTCAGACAGTTGGATTTCAGAAGTTCGAGATAAGGGGTCTTTCCAGTGCCCCTGAAATCACATCTAAGAAAAGATGCCTTTTCTGTTTGCATGCACTCACTTACCTGCTCTGCTTTGCAGCCTTTGCTCAAATACCACCTACTCAGACCAGCCTCTTCTCACCCTTTTTTGGTGGGGGGGAGGTGAAGAGGAGGGACCCTTTGATGACAGAACTTTATTTTCTCACGGTCTGGAAGCTAAAATCTGAAATCGAGATGTCAGCGGGCCCTGCTGTTTCTGCAGGCTCCAGGAGGAACCTGTCCCAGCCTCTCAGCTACTGTGCTCCAATTCTCTTTTTGAAAACACACACACATCATCATCCCCATAATAGCTGCCTCCCTTTCCTATCCCTTTCCCTGCTTTATTTTCTCTTCATAGAATACTATCCAATTTTATTTTAAACAGCTACTTGCTTATTCCTTATATTTCGTCTAGCCCACTGTTAAGATTCTGTTAACATTTGCTAAGGTGCCAGGCTGACAACGAATGTCCACAAGAGAGGCCGAAACACAGACATTTATTGCTCACAGGAGCTGGAAAAGTACAAAGCATGCTGTGAGCAGCTCCCCGAGGTTGGGGTGGGGGCAGTGCGCTCAGGCAGCAAGGAGGGCGGGGTGCAGCCTTTATTAGTGTTCGTGGGAGGAGTGCTTTGGATTCCCAGATGAAGACTGGATTGGCCAATGCAAACCAAAAGGAATAGGGTTTTCATAACCTCCATGAGGGTCTTATCTAAGGAGCACAGAGAGGAAGCCTCTAGAAGGCCAGGGAGACTTACAAGGGCTATGGGAAGAGTTATATCAGGAAGGAACTTGTGCCTCTTGTGAGCTGCAGCATGTGCTGATAAGGGTGTGACCTTAAAGGGTCACTTTAAAGTCCTTACTATCTGGTTAACCAAAGAAAATGAATGCCAAGGAGCAGCAGTGTGGAGGCTAAACTCTAGACACCCACTAACTCATTAAGTTCTGTGAGTGTGAATGTTAGTCATCTGAGTCATAAACACAGCACTAGGATGGGAACTGATATATATATATATATATATATATATATATATATATATAAACAGGTTCTCAAGTAAATATATGTTGAATGAATAGATCCATAGATGTATGAGTGAATGAATGAACAAACTCCATGTTTGATACTCATGAAAGTGGAGTAAGACTAGCCACAGAGGAAATACTGGTGCAAAGCCCAAGGGACCACAGCAAGACATTCTTCATATTTATTAAAACAATAACTTTTGTTGAGTGCCAGCTATGTGTCTAATCCATGACTACAAAAAGATATCAAACAACGATCCATCCCTGAGGCTCACGATATAATTAAAAACAGAATATACTTACAAAGAAATAGTAATAGAAGGTAATAATTCTGTGATTCGTGGTACCAAATGTTTCAAGTTCATGAAAACAGGTGTGTGCATAAACCTGAGATTTTAGTAATTTTTACAAATATTAGCAAACAAGGGCTTTAAAGTAGATTATTATGAATTGGTT